GAGTTGCGAAAACAAGGTCAAACAACTTCTATACAACGAAAGGAGACTGTGACCACACAAAAGGCCACACGATCTTGGTCTTTATACCCTCTTTTTTTAGTTATACCATCTTTTATGGAGAAATATGACCCATTGTCGAGATCCGGGTGCTACAAGATTGTTTGCTTATATGGTCGATGTTATGTTGGTAAAACATGACGACCTATTCGACAGAGATTGGAAGAACACAAAAATGCTTGTAAAGTAAGCTGGGTCCAACGGTCAGAAGCGGCCAAACACATGATAGAAACTGGACATTAAATATAATGCTATCAAATTATTAGGTTTGCTAAGTATGGTATATCTGTGGTTAAAAGAAAGATAAGACAGGCCATTGAAAGATAATAGCTTAGGAAATACGTTGAATATAAGGAAGGATGGTAGAAAGTGAGTAGGAACTACTTATGTTTGATTGATAGATTGAAGGAGAGAGAGGGTGTTGATTCGCCGTCAAAAAGAATGCAACTCAACTTGCCTGCTCGGTCATGGCTCAAATTTCACTCACATTTGTCCGACATGTTAGATTAAGCTCATCAACCAAACTAGACGTGTCATATTACGCAGCCCTAGTCATGCCTTTCCTTGGGGTGCTAAACATTAATTACCCTAGACTGAGAAGGTAAAACAAGTGGTTTCGTAACTTGACTTATACGCTTAAAAGCTTATATCTCATTATGAAAGATAATTAGCCAAGCCACTCTATATATATTAATGTTTTTAATTTTCTTTTGCTTGATTGAGTCTATATAAGAGGTAAGAAAGAACCGAACCGTCTTGTTGCCCTACTGCTGACGTAAGACTTTTATAGGAATTAGACTCAGCTCTGATGATGTTGATCATATGGTGGACGAAAGCTCAGCCCGTTTTCACCCAAAATGAGGGTCTCTTGGTCTGCGTCAGCCTGAACGGTGTATAAAAGCCAAACCGACGGGATTCATCCGTCCTCTTCTGGTGAAATCGACCTATGAATCTCTTCTTCATGCACTTTTACACGAAATGAAAGACCCCTAACATTCTTTTGAAGACCTTATCTGTATAATGGATAATATTTTTCTATAAAAAAGGCATAACCGAAGAAAATGTCATGGTGTCTTTAAAAATTGTTTTTATAACTTACTTTTTTGATAGTTTCTCCATTTTCATAGAAATAAGGAATCACAAAGGAAAAAAGGAAATGAGAAGTTTTCATTTTGTCTATTGCTGACCAAATATTTTCCGTTTGAAATTGTATACCTTATTAAAAATAATAAATGTCTACTGTAGATATGAAGACCAAGATGGTGCGGCCTTTTGTTTGGTCGTAGTCTCTTTTAGTTGTATATTTTTATTGTCCCCGTTTTCGCAACTTGATCGGGGCAGCAAGGAGACCTTCCAGAGCGTACCTAGTCTAGTCATGCATCCTCTGTTACAGTATTCATGATGATTACCAGCATTGAGCCGGTGACTTGGTACATTCCCAGACGGTTAGTCGGAATGGCAGTTGACATCGTGTCATCCTTAGCACAAAGCTACAACTCATCAAAGTGGCAAATGAAGGAAATTTCCTTGAATAATTTTCGATTAAATCGTTGTAGCATCACTAATCGTTCCTATTTTTAGTCATAACTCATAGTGATACATCTTTTTCTCTGGGCGATATGAAGTGCACTTGTTAGAAGACGATGTAGCACTAAAATTAGGACGACAAATAAGAATGAGTGGATGCCATAACGATTGGTAAATAGACCAATGGTGGAAATCATCAGGAATTCTGTGCCAGAGGATGCAGGACTAAGTACGCTCTACAATGTTGCCCTGTTGCCACGACCAAGTTGCGAAACGAGGTCACACCAAAAATATAAAGACAAATAAGACATTGGGGAAAAATAAAATAAATTTGTTTAATATTCATTTTTTGCTATTGTGGCGGTAATGTATGTTATTCTCGAATTTAAAATGGTATTTAATAACCAATTATAATTTTTAGAAAGAATTCTAATTACTTCCATAATTTGAAAAGGACCAACTCACTCGAACATAACATAAACGTCGCCTTCTCTTGAAATAGATTGGAATTAGGGTTGATCATGAGTTGATCGGTCTCCACTGTTGCTCCTGCAAGCCTGCCAGCTAGCATGATGATATCTTCGGCCGTAGGATAGGCCGCTAAGCGACTATTCACTTTGTCTGGAGCCTCTGAATATTCTTTTGCAGAGAAGGGATTGCAACTCACACTAGTCTCCGAACAGCCAGTATGAATCTGATCGGTTCGAAGAGTAGTATCTTCCAAATTAAGTGTGTACGCGGAAATTAGGCCTGGTGGGAAAGCTGTCTGTAGCAGCCGCAAAGCCTGGTTGGTACTAATGTGTGTGTCGAGCAGAATTAGCGACAAGTCTGAGGCATCAATAATCGTTCGAATGCCTTCATGATTTTCATTCTCTTCGCCATCATGTAGCAGCTCCCCATTACATTGAGGTATGTCATTTACTAATGTACCATCACGTGGAGAGGAAAAGTACTTAGATAAACGTCCAATAGAGCTTTTTAAATCTTTTCGCAGGATCAGCTCATTGGCAAATTTAGTTTCATAGTGCTGATTTGCAAATTGAGAGGAAGGGATAGAAGACTCGGGAGGAAGAATGTTAGCGAATACCTAAAAGATCAATTCGGAAATGTAATGCAAAAATTTAGTCAATATAAGTGCATCAGCCAATGGTAATTAAATTGTTTTGAATGCATGGAGGTTTAATTCACAGCAAAAAGATCAGAGGAAAAAGAGAAGAGTGATAATTGTAGAATAATGATTATAAATAGAAAACTTAGAGTGACAAAACTTTAGACTAACGATTTGTTGCGAAAAACAATAAGTAGAAATGCCATGATAAAATAGTAAAAAGCTCGTAAAAAGGCCAACAAAACTTTCACAGAAAGATCATTATGTAATAAAAGTGATGTGACTGTATATTGGTCGACAAGCATTCAAGAATTATATGGACGTTGAATAAATATTAAGGCAAG